AGCCCTTACTTGGGGTCGCTGCCTCGCTATTGATCGAAAGTTTCCAAGTATTGACAACAGTCGCGAGGCAATCTCGATTACAATGTGCACCCGGAGGGGCTATCTCGCTGCCGAGTCAGCCAAGGGTCATCTCGGCAACAACCGGCCGCGACTGAAGACATGGAAGTCGGGAGGGACCCTAAATGGGCCTGTGTGTTGGCCGCGGCGGCTCGCCCCGCCACGCCGCCACGCCGCCACGCCCCCGGGAAACGGGCTCATCGGCTCATGCACCACAGCAGGTCAAACGTCGTTCCTCATAGGACAACTCGTAGCTGCGTGCAAGTACTATCCCATCCTATAGCATTGTTAGTTCACTGATTCCACCTAAGCCCGCAGCTGGTGCCGGGATTGAATATTTTTGAACAAAAAAGTTAAAAGCAACGGGACGAGATAGGACAGACAGTAGTCAGACTGAGAGCGGGCCGGGTAAACTGATAATCAGGGTGACACCCTTGGTTTGAGATAGGACAAAAGCCGCTTGTGCATCCGAAAATGTCGCGGCACTCTGACCGTGGATCCCCTGCGGACCACTTCTCGGACGTGAACCAACAACGCTTCAGGCGAGAACTCTTGGACAGAAACGGAAGTAGAGAAGGTAATACATAAAATTAGTAAAGTGCACACTTTAAGCACCCTGTCTACAAACACCACCCTCTCCGAACTAGACCCCAGTTTGATGTCGCCGAGTGTGTACTCACGCGGCTACGCATAAACAGGTGCAGCTGGACGGGTGACCACTCCCGGCTGGACAGCTGCCTCGTGCCAACCGTGTCCCTCCACATAACTCCCGGCGGGATTATCCCTCGCGATCTACCACGGGCTCACTCCCCCTCATGCGCCGCCACGGCTCTGCTTGCAGCACGAGAGAGAGAGACAATGTCGATCTGGCCAGCGAACCGCGCCGACCCGGGACGGTAGGGAGGGACGCCCACTATGGGGGACCCTCATGGCACCCGCAGACACCATGGGGCGGCCACGGGCCCGGCATGGACCCAGTATGGACGCGAGCATGGACCCAGTATGGGTCGGGAGATAAGACCAGGGCACGATAAAGAGGGGCCAAAGGAGAGGAGAACCCGATCGAAGGTGAAACGGGAAGTATATTATGGCGAGCGTTGGAAAAGAAAATGCACTGGAAGCATCATGGTGGTGCCACTTACTCCGTCCGCGGCGTCGAGAGGAAGGCGTGAAAGTGCTTTAAGGAAAACCATGTTGGAAGTTACGTTGTTTTAAGTCGTGGGAATATGGCGATAGTAAAGGCTTTAGGTTTCCTGGGTGATTGCGTTTGAGTAAATGGAAAGTAATTGAATGAAAGCCCACTCTTCCGCTTTGAAATTGTGCGTCGGAACCGCATCGGAAAACGTAGGCTCAGTCATTTAGAAGGTGGGCCATAGGGTAGGACTGCTACGGCGAAACGAAAGTACACCCGTTCACATCCCGAAAAACGACGGGCCAATGCATTTGAATACATCTTCTGAGGACTGCTCAAGTGAGGTGAAACGCGCTGGTGCGAGACCAAGGTCGGCCTGCCGTTTAGTGGGCTAGGTCACGACCGCGTAGAGTGCGCCAGAAGGCTGCGCAGGCTGCGCTTGTCGGGCCCGCCATGTGTACAAACAAGAGGCGGGTGATAGGACAGGGGCTGGACGGACGGGACGGGTTGGAACCTCGCTGTTATGACTGTGGAATGCTACGCCTGAACTATAGGGGTGACGGTCAGGCACCAGCAATAAAAAGCAGACTATCTGCAGCTAATCGTATAGAAAAAGTGCACCGCACGAGCGGGTAAGTTCAGCAAAAAATAAGGGGGGCGGGGGTAAACCATTTCCATATGAGTGCCGAAAAACCCACCATGACTTTGTCTCACCTACATGCCATACACTGAAAA